GAGTAAATATATCTCTCCTCATATATATATATATATATATATATATATATATATATATATATATATTTTAAAATTTTATTGATTTTTTTAATATATGATTGTCAATTTTTGTAAATAAATTCTTACATTTTTGACAAATATAAATTTGTCAGAAATATTTCATCAATAATATAACTTTTCCTACGAATTATTTTTTCATCGAAAACATAAATTTTTGACGGAAAAATCTGTCGGAAATTTCTGACGAAAAAATCCATAGGTAATTTCTGACAGATTTATCCGTTGGAAATTATCTGTCAAAAATTTGTGTTTTTCTTGTAGTGATTATTATTTTGATTGGTGATATATCGATAATTTTTATGATTTGTATTTTATTAATAATTTTGCTTATATTATTTGATTATAGAGAAGAAGTGTATTTTAATTATATTATATTGTATTAATTATTTTATGGAAGGGGAAAGAACGACGTGATGGACATTTGATTAATTAGTATTATTATTATTTTTATTGTTATTATTATTTTATTATTATTATTTTAAGAAGGGAGTTATTAAAAGTTACCAAGAGTATTCACTCTTCGGACTCATTTCTTTTCTACGCTTTCTAACGATCAAGGAGAACCAAGAGAATAAGACCAACCAGATCCTTCCCGCACTTCATCCTCTACTCATCCAGGTAATGGAGGAGTGAGAAACCTCACTCAAGGGTGTGAGAATAACTGTTGGGTAGCAGGATTGACCCCTAATCCATTGCCTAATAGGAATAGACACTTTATGAAAGTTTTCTGTTTTGCTTTCTAATTATTCCATTGTGTTCCTTGTGTGATTCTGAGTGTGAATATGTGTTCAATTTCATGAATAGATAAGTTTTGATATGGATTAGAGTGCTCTATGGGTTCCTAGGAAAAACCTTATGAGAAACAAGAAAATTTTGAATATTTTTTGTTTTGACTTCTGATTTTTCTGTTGTATTCCTTGATGTTTGCTGAGTGTAAATATGTGCTTAATTTTGAAAATAGACATGTTTTGATATGAATTAGAGTGCTTTATAGGTTCCTATGAGAAATCCTATGAAGTGAAATTATTGTTACTTATTTATTATGGGGTAGAAGGGTGTCACAATTACAAATAAAATCATGATAGAATCTAACTCATCTTTGGCTATTAAAATTATAACTAAGGGATGTTTTTAATCTCATTCATGCTTCGAGCTTGTTAAAGAGATTCCTCTTCCCCAATCTCAAATTTACATTCATTCATGTACTCTTATTTTTAGGGAAGCCAACTTAGTGGTTGATGCTCTTGCTAGAAAGAGTTTAGTGTGAGAAAGTGGTTTGATTGTGTTTGAATCACCTCTTCCTTTTTTAATTTCCTAGTTATATGTAGATAATTTTGCAAATTTTTCTATTAATAGTTAGTTTTTCTGGACTTTTGGCCCGTTGATTACCAAAAAATAAAAGTTTAGGAATATTTTTTGTTCAAATAACTTTTTTTCTTCTAATTTCTTTATTTTCTAAAATTTAAATCAATAACAGTGCCTTCCAAACAAAATTTAATAAAAATATTCTTTATTTTATATTATTAATAATGTTGTAAAATTTTTTAATAAAATAATAAAAAAATTAATGTTAATGCTAGTCTTTAAATAAATTTTCAAATACTTTATACATTTTAGTTAATGAGAAATTAATTTTTATTGAATATTGAGTCTAAATATTTTATAATATTTACATGATTTATTTATATATTTTGTGAGAATTTTAATTTAAATATATAAATATTAGTTATTTTAAACTAATATTATTAAAGTTAATAAATAATTATTATAATAACATTATTTTTATGAGAAAGAATTGTTGCAAGCATATATAATATAT